CGGTTCGATCCCCCAGCACCACATGCCAGCCAGCCCTGCCCCCTGGTGGGCTGAGCTGGCCACACACACACACACACACACACACACACTAAATAAATGTGTAAAAAAAAAACAAACATCTAGGATGTAGGAAAAAATAATTCATCACCTGCAAGATGATACAAAGATGAACAATGTGAGACTAATAGGCATCAATGAGGAAGGCGTCAATACAAATGATATAAAAAGAATATGGGCAGAAGTAATAGCAGAAAACTTCCCAAATATGAGGAAACAATCTGACATTCAGGTAACCAAAGCATACAGAACTCCAAATAACTTCAACCCAATTAAAAATACAATGAGAAATATAATAGTCAAGATCCCAGAAATTCAACAAAAGAATATCATACTGAAAGCCACTAGAGAAAAGAAGCAGATCACATTCAAAGGAAAACCCATTAAAATTACAGCCAACTTCTCTTCACAAACCATGCAGGCAAGAAGAGCATGGAGCAGAGTACTTCAAGTCTATGAAAACAAATTCCAGCCCAGACTACTACACCCTGCAAAACGCTCTTTCAAGTTTGATGGAGAAGTGAAATACTTTCATGACAAAGAACAACTAAAGAATTTCATGATGGCAAAACCAACCCTATACAGACTACTGAAAGACGTTCTAGAGAGGGACCAAAATGATCAGAACTCCACCAACAAGAACAGAAGAAACCCATTAAACAGGACAAACAAACACAGGAGAAAAAACAGCTTAAAAACAACATTCAAATAACATGTAAATTGTAAGTCAACACATCTGAATAATAACCACCAATGTAAATGGACTCAATTCACCAATTAAGAGAAATAGATGGCACAGTGGATTAGGAAACAAAACCCAGCAATATGTTGCATACAAGAAACACATTTAACTCATAAAGAAACTCACAGGCTGAAAGTCAAAGAATGGAACACAATATGACACACCTCAGCACTTCAGAAAAAAGCAGAGGTAGCAATCTTGTTCTCAGAGAGTCTCAACTTCAAACCAAGAATGATCAAGTGAAATAAAGAAGACCACTATATACTGGTTAGGGGAAAAATTCAAGAGGAAGAGATAACACTCATAAATATGTATGCACCAAACACGGGAACACCCAACTATATAAGACAAACCTAAACAGACATGAAAAATCTAATATCCAATACAACAATCTTAACAGGAGACTTTAACGCCCCCTTATCCCAAAAAGATAGATCAACCAGACAAAAAATTAGCAAACAAGTAGCAGAACTGAACCAGAGATTGGAACAAATGGACTTGGTGGACATATACAAAGTGTTCCATCCAACCACAGCAGAATGCACATTTTTCTCAGCTGTGCATGGGTCATTTTCTAAAATAGACCACATACTGGTCCATAGGTCATGCTTAAGTATGTGCAAGAAAACAGAAATTATCCCATGAATATTATCTGACCACAGTGCAATGAAACTGGAAATAAACGACAAAAGAAACCAGAAAAACCCTCTAAATACATGGAAATTAAACAACACCCGACTCAGCAACCAATGGGTTACAGATGAAATTAAAC